AATGGTGCTCCTAGCAAGCGTAACTATCCTTCCCTTTCCTTACTGCCTGGATCTGGCTCTGTCCCTAAGGAAAGAGTACCTTAAGTCACATAGCTGGAATATTTCTCTCTACAACTTCTGAGTTTATTTTTAACCTGAGTGATTCCAGGTAGGCAGGGCTGAGCTGTCACAAACATGACCACCCAGCTTCGTTTCTTTTAAGAGAAAATATGAAAGTCTATCCCTGTTGCTGTGTAATGGCCTGACTATTTTTAGATTGGGCTGCCAGAGACATAAATTGCTATTTTTGTCTGCAGTCAGGTGGTAGGTAGACAAAGCCTATGTAAAGAACGCTGCATGGAGCCCTCTCAATTTAATCTACTCTCTACGATCTTGGAGCCTTGCTCTTTAACTTTTAAAATTCCTTATAGTGTATGCTACTTACAGCTTTGTTGTTATGTCTCAAGGTAATGATGTGGTAGATCCTTGCATGCTTGGGACGCTTCGAAAGCCTTCTTCCCGAGAGAGTAATTATTTTCCTTTTTAGTATTAAGAACTGTATAGCAACACTCTCATCCCTTAGGAAATTAGTAAAATTATTTAAAGGATTATCAGGGGAGAAAAGATTTATTTATCTATGTGTGACAATAGCTTGGATAAACTCTGAAGCTGTTAACTGCATGTTTCTCTTCAACAGTTTCCAAGCCATCTGGTGAATTCTATTCATTGAGTATATATTTTGCACACTAGGTAGATAGCTAATCCACTGGTGGTCCAAGTAAAGTATCTTCACTGTGGCAAATTCATTTCCCCTGTGCATTTTCTATCTGAATTCTCTATATTGGTTTAATAGGACTGCCAGTTTATTTTCATTCATTCGCTCTAAGGATAACAGGCCCTCCTTAATACGGTGAGAAGGTGATACTCTTTTGCCCATAAACTGGCCACTATTTAGGATGGCTTGACCCTGCCAATTTTTGGCAACCTTGCTCTGATTTGCTTCAGTGTGGCGCCATTTTTCATCATGTTAGTTAATAAGGTGAGACTAGTTAGAACCCGTTAGAGGCAAATAACCACCCCTTCCCCCAACCTAGCTCAAGCTAAAGGAGCGTTATGCTGCAAAGCTTGTTAACATCTTGCAGGCTCCACACACAGGAATGCAGCGGGCCCCTGAGACCTGAACACTGCCAGGGCTCTCTGTTTCTCTGCATCTGCTTTCAGGCAGCTGCTTTTTTCGTGTTCCTGAGTTTACGTCTCCTTTTTCCAGAGAACAGACTAAACCAGAATGCCTCACAAAGCATGGCATGGGTATGGGTTTGGTTTTGGGACTTCTCACCTGCACACTGAAATGGAAGAATGCTATCACTGTCAGGTCCTTTGATACTCATGATTTTTACTGTATTGCTGGTTTTCACAAAGTTAGCCCAAAGGAAAGTACGGAACATGGGTTTGTGTCTGTATGTGTAACAGATTTTGCTGTTTAGAAACATACACACATTTGTATGCTTCTAAATATGACTGTTCTAGCCAAGGTATCAGATACTAGTCATGTATTTGCCTTTTGAAGCAAACTCTTTTAATTCAGAAAGAATGCAGGTGAAAACACACCTCTAGTTTAGGTGGCCTAGAGGCAGCCAGGTATCATTTATTTAAGCTGTCTGATGCCAGAACAGGTAATGTAATATAGGGAAACTAGTTAGACAGGCCTGCTGACCATGGAATATAGGTCTGAAAGGTCTACATGTATAAAGCTTTATGAATTTTGGAGGGAAATTAGAATCCTTCCAAATGCTTTGTATTCCTTGTCATTTAACAGCAGTTACTGGCATTTGTAAAATTTAGGAAAACTCTCTTGATGTTTTTTCTGTTAAGATTTAAGCTTTGGTTGTGCCTTATTTTCAAATTTTTTTAGGGTTGGGGGTACCAGTTGAAGAGCATAGATATAGTTTCTGTTTGCTTTTGGTTGGTAGAAGGTGTTTCTTTTCAATAAACTGAAAGAATACTCAATTCTATAAACTAGGGTATTTGCTTTAGGATCACTGCTGCTGGCTCAGTTTACATCTATTTTATTTCATGGCTTTGGTTTTGTTCCCGTAACTAGATATTTCCAGCAGTTGCCTTTTCATTTAGAATAGACCAACCTGCCATTGGCAGGCTTCCCCATTGTCCATCACACACCATGAGCTTCCCTCACATGATGTCTTTTTGTTTCTACAGGTTCATGAACCATCGGGCCCCAGCCAATGGCCGCTACAAACCAACTTGTTACGAACATGCTGCTAACTGCTACACACACGCCGTGAGTGTTCTGCCCCTTTCCTCCTTCCCCAAGGGCTTTGGTGGGAGGAAGGGGCAGTTATCTTTAGTAACCACAGCCTGATTAGTGGGGCTGACTGACCTCTGCGACCTTACCTCCCAGGGTACTAGTGCCAGGCATGTCCCCAGAAACTCAGGGAGTGTGTCAGGCACTTGGAGTGACCTGTAGTCAGCTCTGTCCATCCTGCACTTGACTTCTCCAAAAAGATCTTTAAAAGAATAATAATAGTAAGGACCCTAGTTATAGGAAAACCAAAGGAAACTCTTTATGAATATTGTCACCTCTGGGTTGAAATGAATCGTCTTTTCAAGACAATGACCAGTGCACCTTTGGCAAGGAGCATTCACAATATTTGTGAATTTGTTGAAAAATGTGTTTTGTTTTGTTTTTACCTAAGTGTGTTTTTACCTAAGTGATCCCCCAGAACAGGCAGCCACATCTTCCTCACCCGACAATGGCCATTTCTTCTCAGAGCAGATGGTCCATATTGTTAAAGGAAAAGCTGGTTTGATCCCTAAATTCTTAGTGTTTTTTTCTTCTTTATAAAAGCAAACCATGCTTATTATAAGCAACTTAGAAAATTCTGAAGAATATATAAGAAAAACTCAAAAACAGATTGTCAACACTTTGGTGAATTTCTTCTTATTGTATGTGGTGTTTCTGAATATGTATATGTATTTCACAGTTTTCCTATTAATGTCATATTTTTGTCATTTTCTTGTATTAGTATGAATTTCCCTTTGTGATTTCATTATTCCCTTTGAAAGGTTGGATTTAATGAAAATTTGAGGAAGAAATGGTGACTGGTAGACAGTCTGAAGACAAGAAATACAGGAAACCAATTTACTCCTTTAGTGAAGAGTATTTAGAACAGGCTTATTCAGTTATTTTAGACAGTGTTAGTATACTTTATAGGTTAGATACATATGCCATTAGAATAAATGAATTCAAGTTGTGCCTTTTCATTTCTTTAACTCCTTCAGCCCTGAAGAATAGCCAATGTTTTCTGTAAAGGAACCATGATGCCAAATAAACCCAAAATAAATTAGTTTTCAGTGGATTCATTTATAATCTAATAGAGCAGTGCCATTTGGTCATTACTTAGCATAAATCAAACTTCATAAAGCATCTGTCTTAACTATTGTAATAGTGGAACACATATATTACTTGATAATATTGAAACATCCTAATTTATCACTGGATGTCCTTTTCCCTTAGGTGCTAAAAATATTTTTATTTAAATAATTAGTATGTTGGAATCTTACTAAATTCTTCTAGAAAAAAAATTAGTACTTGATATACCTGCCCTGGATTCCATAAAAGGGCTTCAATAATGAAATTTGGAGTAACTTCTTTAGTGGACAGTCTCTCTGGACCCATGGCTTAGATTCTGGCGACAGGAAGGATTTAGTAGAATTCTCTAGACTTGAGCTGACCTCTGCCTTTGCCTTAATGACATACTTGTATGAAGTGAGCTTCAGCACCAGAGGGTCAATGGTCAGAGTCTCCAAACTTGGTTTTAAAGAATGCAGGGTTTAACTGATTGTCTCCAGAACCTGCCAGAGTATCCATAATTTATTCTTGACTGATGAATTTAACAGAGCTAAAAATAAAGTTAATTCTGAAGATAACTGTCCATAGGACCATAAGAAAATGGTGTGTGTGTGTGTGTATTGAAATTTCAAGCAGGATTTAGATAGAAAGCCTATAAAACTTGAAATAACTGTTAGTTTATATGGCCTGTTCCTTCCCTCATTGCTCCAGTGTGCATCCACTATTTTCTCTATCAGTTGCGAGCACTGATGAAAGTTCCGGAAATAGTGCCTTGATAGTTTCCATACAGTTGACCGATAAAAGCATTTGGTGAAGTATTTGTTACTTAGCAGGATGTTGAGCATTTTAGTATAATAGTTTGACTACTGAGATGCACAGTTTACTTTAGGGAATAGTATGTGCTTGAAATGGACCTGAAAGATCCCTTAATTATCTCTTCTGGATATCACAAGTGTTATATAAAACAAAATTAAGGAAAAAGTGGCAAAACCTCCGTGTTAATATTTTAGAAGAGAAACTGTCATCTTATTAAACTGTATCCCTGATGTTTGAATTTCAGAGAGTAGTAAAATTTCTAAAACATAACAAAAACTTCCATCATCATCATTTCATTAAGGGAAGGATACTTTAACACGAATAGAAAGGACATAATCACAAAATAAATTAATTCTGTTTTATGAAAAACTTACTGTATAGGCCTTAATTTTCTTATTTTTTCTGAGCCAGTAAAAACTTCAGCATTTGAATATTCAATGCTGATCTTATCTAGGGGATTTAATATTGTGTTGCAAGAAGGCAAAAAATATGTGTTGGGGGAAAAAAAGAGATAAGGTGGCTAAAGTGTGCATTCTTTGCCATCCAGGCATACTGAGTCTAATATTTGACAAAGTAGTATATTTATCCTGAGGATGTCTGTTATAAAATATTTACTGTCCTTCAATTTTACTGTCAACCTAAAACTTCTCTAAAAAATTAAGTCTTTAAAAAAATGTCTACTAATCATAGTCATACTCATGACGGACATTGAAATTTGTGCATATGTCATATAAAAATATGGTGCAGAAAGCAAAATTCTCATTAAGATTCTGGTCTCTTAAAATTACTTGAATAGATGGGAGTAGATCACCCTTGCTTTTTGAAAGGTGCCATTGTGCTCACTTTAGCACATATGCTAAAATTGGAACAAATCAGAGAAGAATCGCATGGGCTCTGCACAAGGATGACACGCAAATTCTTAAAGCACTCCATATTAAAAAAAAAAGAATAGTGCTATTACAAATGACATATCCCAAACCATTTCTCCCTGGAGTCATTCCCAAATTGGTGAAATGAACAGATCAAAACTACAAGTCAGAACAAAGGACTTGAACCGTTGATTTGTATGTGTATGTTGTGTACATTTTAATACGTATTGGCTCGATTCATTCAGTTATCCCTTGCTGAATGAAGTATTGGGATTCATGCAGGGAACCAAAGAATATTTAAAAAATCAGAACTTTCTGGGAAATCTGGGTTTATGCCTGGCATTTGAATATTTTTAAGTATCTAATCTAAATCACATTATTGTGAAGGATGAAACGTGTTCTGATTTAATGAAATTAGGATAAAGAACTTGTGTTTTGCATCAGGGAGGAATGTCACGTCCTTTACTGCTTCCTTGTGTGCCCCTGGTGGGCACAGGTCCTGGGCGCTGAACAGCGGTACCTGTTCCCGTGCAGCCCTGACAGCTTCATCTGGCCCTAGTGATTATTCAGGAGAGACAAGTGTTTAAAATGATCGTCCTGAAGTTGTCCCTGGTAAAGCGAATGTATTTGTCACAGAGGTCTCAGTTCAATGACACCAAGGCTGTTCCCTCCCCTTGCCTCTCCTTCAGTTCCTCATCGTGCCGGCCATCGTGGGCAGCGCCCTGCTCCATCGGCTGTCTGATGACTGCTGGGAAAAGATAACCGCCTGGATTTACGGGATGGGCCTCTGTGCCCTCTTCATCATTTCCACAGTATTTCACATTGTATCATGGAAAAAGAGCCACTTAAGGTACCATGGATGAGTGCTATTTCAATAAATCAGAATAGTGACTCAGATTAGCCCCCCATTTTATACAGGTGATGCAAAGGGTAGACATTTTTCTGCCTTGTAGACTATATAACAATGTTGTCCCATGGTTGAGGACATTTTCTCTGGATTGGACAGAGTTTGAGGGTCCCCATTTGTATCTAAGACAGCAGGCCTTTGCTCAGAAACCATAAACAAACCATACTGCTCACCCAGGACTTAATGTAAAATCCTGAGACCTAATTGCCAGTGTGATCAAGCCCACTAAGGACACTGTTTTAGGAGCCCAGCAACTGTGAGGAAGTGACAAAGTACACTGAACTTGGGAGTCAGCAGTTGGGCTGGGGTCCCAGCCTTGCCACCTAGCCTTGCATAAGTCTCCTGATCTCTGGAGCCTGTTTCTTCGTCACTGAAATTGGAATAATAATGTCTGAGTAACAGAGTTGTGTGATAGGTGAATGAGATAATGCATGTGAAAATGATTTGAAAATTACAGAGGAGTGCAGGACTTTGTGAGGTAAGGAAGCACACTAAAGCTTGGGTTTACTGCCTTGCGAAATTCAGCCTTCAGAATTAGGTCCAAAAATCCATATATTTTGCTACTGTTAGCTGCCAGACACTTTCTAAACCATACCATGGGCACTAGCTCCCAACAAGGACATAAACGCTCTCCTCTGGAGAAATATACCATTTCATTGTTTATGAAATAGATTCTGCACAACCCAAAAGAGCAAAATTTCCTCCCCAAAAAAAAGGGAATTCCAAGCAGACTTAGAGCGATTTAAAATATTAGAATATACATTTTGGTTTTACAGAATTTCCAAAAAAACATCTCAAACTACTCAAACATTCTAATATTAAAAAGACATGTTTTATTTAAGAGCAGGATTTGGGATTCATGAGATGAATACTGGTTTCCTCACATGTAGATCCAGTTTTAGAGCTAAAAGGACCCTTAGGGTTTATCTAATCCAAACCCTGGGGGAAACTGAGGCTCAGAGAAGTGGCCTGACTTGCCCATATCAGTGATACCAGAAGAATGTCAACCCCCCAGGACCTCTGACCCCCAGTCCTCAGGGTTCTCTTCACCACCTCCTTTGCAATATTGCTCAGTGTTTGCCATCTGCTACCTTGCTTATAAGGTAACAATTCCCTGGGCTTAAAATAAAGCCATAGCATTGGTCTTGAGGGGCATGCTGGGACACATCGAAGGGAGCCTCAGAAGTACCTGTCCTGGCTCCTCGGGGGGCACTGCCACAGAGAACAGAGGCCAGAGCACTTCATTATCTTCTTGGCACGTCCCTAAACTTGTGGTTGCCTCGGCTGACTTGGCTTTGACGTCTAGACTTCTGAATCAATAAGGAGCTGTAGATGCCTATTTCCGTATTCAGGGCCTCCGTCCAGCGGCTGGAGAAGCAGGTGTAATAGAAACCAGATTCTCTTGAACCTTGAAATAGCACTGCCAGGATCACAAGCCACTTGTGGATATTTGCTCTGCATTCGTTTTTCAAATATCCAAATATAGCCTTAATTGAAATAAAATTGGGAAGGGAATTAGCATTTATTGAGTACCTGCTGTGTGCTAGGTGTTGTGCTAAACACATGGCCTAGATGATCTTATTTCACACTCACAGACATGCTATGATAGATATGTTTTTTGTATTTTACCTGTGAGGAAAGTGAGGGTCAGAGAAATGGGTGGCAGATCTTGAATAAAATTGCAGGTCTGACTTGACCCGCTATGACATTGCATGACAGTCTGGAAAGCAGAATTAGAAAGACCCGAAACGTAGCTAGGAATCACAATCATCCAAAGAGTTTAAAATAACAAAAAGATTCTCTTCCTTCCATCCTCTACCCCATCTGGCTCTTTTAAATTAGAATCTTCTGGACTGGAGTCCATGATTATATTTTATAAGCTCTCCAGGTGATTTCTGATATGCAGTCAGGTTTGAAAAGCATTAATCCAGTGTTTGCTTTTGTAGATGTTTGAACAAAATTATTTTCACTAACACATAACTAACACTAACTGACAAAACATCCTCAGCCTGCTTTGGTCATTGCCGTGTGTGGTAATCCCAAGTGCACTCTGAAGCTCTACCAAATCAGAGCTATTACCCCTTGGACACTGGAAATGAATTCAAGATGATGCAACACATTCATATGTTTAAATTACCCTAGTAAGGAGCAAATTCTGTCTAATTCATTTTGTGACTAGACCTCAGTGAGCCAGGTCTTCCTGAATTCCCAGCTTTGGATGGAGCAACTTGCTTAAAAATGTGGGAGGCTACCCTCTTGCAACAAATACGTCTTTTTTATTTTTATTGTGTTCCTAAATTTGTTTCTGAATTTTCTTTATTACAACTTACTGTCTACACTAAGATATTTGAAGTTAAAGTCATCCAAAAAAAAAGAGGGACGTGGACCTCAGTGAGTGTTTACTGAGCACTGCAACTTTGTGCCCTGCACTAAGATAGGGACTGAGGGGTGGGCTGCCCTCAAGGAATGTCATTTTCCTGTTATATAGGATCTCAAAGAAATGGAAAATGGCAGAAAAGATATATTTTGCTTATTTTAACCACTTCAGAGTTTCTGATTATTGTGGGGTTCTGTCCCTGTATCTCATACATGGTGAGTCATCTATTGTGTGTGCAATCCTAGAAATAATGTAAAGCTTTTTACTTATGGCTTCCTATTGTGAAGAATAGTTGTGTGACTTTGAAAGCCAAGTTATAAATGCCGTGAGAAACTTGAACCAGAACAGAAATGGCAGCCTAGTGGAGTGACAGCCCATATTGCCAGTCTGAAAGTTTTCTGAAGAGTTTTGTCTGACTTGTACTTTTTGTTCCCTCCACTAGGACAGTCGAACATTGTTTTCACATGTGTGATAGAATGGTTATCTACTTCTTCATTGCTGCTTCTTATGCTCCATGGTAAGATACAATCTTTTTGTTTCTGAAGATAGTGTTTTTATGATACAATTCCTCAGAGCCCCTTTCCTCCTGTCTTCCTGTCCCTGCCCATTCCCAGGCATACATTTCACCCCTCTGCCCCAAAGTCACATGCGTATATGGATTTTTTGCCCTGTTTTGATTTATTTGGGTCAGATTGCAGATTTTAAGGGGAGAATGCTGCTGATGTTCAGAACACAGGCATACCTCATTTTATTGCGCTTCGCTTTATTGCACTAAACAGAACTGCATTTTTCACAAATCAAGGGTCTGTGGCAATCCTGCATCTGGCCAGTCTGTCAGCACCATTTTTCCAACAGCATTTGCTCATCTCATGTGTCTGTGTCACATTTTGGTAATTCTCACAGTACTTAAACTTTTTCATTACTGTTTCTGTTTGTTACGGCAGTGACCTGTGATTAGTGTTCTTTGATGCTACTATTGTAATTGTAACTGTAATTTCAAACCACGCCCATAAAAGATGGCAAACCTAATAAGTGTGTGTGCTTACTAGCTGCTTCACTGATTGGCTGTTCCCTATTTCTCTCCCTCTCCTTGGGCCTCTCTAGTCCCTGAGACACCACAGTATTGAAATCAGGCCAGTGAATAACCCAACAATGGCCCCTAAGTGTTGGAGTAGAAGGAAGAGTTGCATGTCTCTCACTTTAAATCAAAAGCTAGAAATGATTCAGCTTAGTGAGGAGGGCATGTCAAAGCTGAGAAAGACTGAAAGTCAGGCCCTTTGTGCCAAACAGTTAACCAAGTTGTGAATGCAAAGGAAAAGTTCTTAAAAGAAACTAACAGGGCTACTCCACTGACCACATGGTAAGAAAGTGAAACAGCCTTATTGCTGCTTTGGAGAAAGTTTTAGTGGTCTGGATAGACAGTGAAACCAGGCATAACCTTCCATGAAGCCAAGCCTAATCCCGAGCAAGGCCCTAGCTCTCTTCAGTTCTATGAAGGCTGAGAGAGGTCAGGAAGCTGCAGAAGAAAAGTCTGAAGTTAGCAGAGGTTGGTTCATAAAATTCCAGGAAAGAAGCCTTCTCCATAACAGAAAAGTGCCAGGTGAAGCAGCAAAGGCTGATAGAGAAGCTGCAGCAAGCTAGCCGAAAGGTCTAATAGGATAATGAAGGTGGCTACACTAAACAACAAATTATCAATGTAGGTGAAACAGCCTTATATTGGAAGAAGATGCCAGCTAAGACTTTCAAGATGCCAGCTAGACAGAAGACACTGCCTGGGTTCAAAGCT